CTTTGTGGTTTTTCTCTCTCAGGTCCGTCTCTAGGAAAAGCCAGCTGCTCTGTCATGCAGACACTCAAGTGGTCCTATGTAGAGAGATCCACATGGTGAAACACTGGGTTTTCCTGCCAACAGCCCACATGGACTTGCCAGCCGTGTGAGCGAGCCAGCCCAGACCCTCCATGCCAGTGAAACCTTCTGAGGACTGCAGCCCCGCCAACGTCTTGAGTGCAAGCTCATGGGGGACCCCGAGCTAGACCCTCTCAACGAAGCTGCTCCCAAATTCCTGACATCGTGAGAAATAATACATGTTTATTGCTGTTTTAAGCTGCTAAGTCTTGGAGTAATTTGTCTTACAGCAATAGGTAACCGATTATCAGGTAGCCTCATCTTCCCCATTTTATAGAGGAGGAAATTGAGGCACAGAAAGTTTGAGGCGCTTGCCCCAGGTCACACAGGTAGCAAGTTATTTAACACATGGCAGTTGGAATCTATATAATTTCAAGTAATGAATTAGAATCCGAATTTTTCTTTTATAGGAATCATGATATTCTGCCTGCTCAGAAAGAGAGATAGAGAGACAGAGAGAGACAGCGAGAGACAGACACAGATACAGAGAGGCAGTGACCAGACCTGGGCAATTGGCTTAGTATAACATGCAGGACTGGGACTATGTTTTTGTCAAGTGAAGTGAGTTGACTGTGGAGAGCTCCACTGCCCTCGCAGCTCAGCTGTGACTGGCTTGGGGTCTGATTTCCAGTTCTTGGGGCAGTGAGGGAGTAAAGTGTGCAGAGTGGAATCCTAGGCCTCTGGAGGCTAGACATGGAGGCTTGGGAGGGCCCAGGTGCCGTGCTAACAGCAGGGGGAATGTCACCTGTTTTTGTCTCATGGGGAATTTGTTGCATTTGGGATTGGGTTTGGGAGACTTTCTTTGGAAACCCAGGGATAGGCAGGGCCTGTGTGCTTGAGTCAGCCCAGGATGGAGAGGGAGAACAGGTGAGGACAGGAAGTCACCTTGGCAGCAGAAGCTGTACCAGGACCTCAAAGTCTACTTGGTGTCTTGTGTCTTCCTTTGTTCCTCATAGAAAGCAACCGATTTACAGGCCCTGAAAAATTCCCAGTTCTGCCATCTGGGTTCAAATGCTGGCTCAGTCTTTTCCTGGCTGTGTGACTCTCTTCTGCTTAGTTTGCTCATTGGGATAAGTATAAGATCTGCCTCTTGGAGACGTTGTAAGGATTAAATGAGCAAAAATAGTTAAAGCACTTTAACTTAAGTTAAGCAAGTGTACAATAAATATTAGGTAATAATATTTTATGAGGCTTTCTTTTGACTTTTTCAAGTATTTAGACATAATTTGTCTAATGCTTGTCATGTGCTAGGCCTTATATTTATCCTCTGAAGACAAAGATGAGTGTGACATAATCCTCTTAGGGGTACAGAAACCTTCAGTAAAGGCCGAAACAAACACTGGTCCAATGTGCCCTGGACCAGGGACCCAGGATGCGGGAGAGCTGGTTCCTTGCTCCAGAGTTCACAGGTGACTAGGGATACAGGTGCAGAAGAAGACAGGACTGAGCAGCGAGATCAGGCTGCGACAAAGGGAAGTCCTGTGACTGTAGGGGCCCAGGGATGTGACCCAGACTGGGTAGAAGCTGAGAGGAGCCCGGAGAACCCCTACCAAGGGGGCTGTTGAGAGACAAGGGGTTGCCCATTTTGGCAACGGGACATATGTGTAGACGGTATGAACAAAGACTCTTTGGGGCAGCTGGGGGATGTCTGGGCTCAACCTTGATTCTTTGGGTACTGGAAAGCCATCAGGGGTTTGTGAACAGGGAAGTGTGTTTGGATAATAGTAACAAGAGCTAGTATTTATTATGCACCTGCTATATACTGTATCCTATGCCTAGACAATCTCATCTAATATCATTCTCACCACAACCCTGCGGTTGCCATTCCCATTTTTCAGACAAAGAAACTGAGTCACAGATGTTGAGTTGACCAAACTGACATCACTAGGAAGGGAGGGAACAGACTCCAAGCCAGGCAGTCTGACCCAAAGGCCCACACTCATAATCATTCTACCAGATGCCTCTAAAGTTCAACTCCCACAATAATCTTGAAGTTGGAATGAACCTCAGAAATACCCCATACCCTCCATTTCTCAGATGAGAAAGTGAGACACAGAGATGGGACTGATTCTCCTGGGACCACAGAGAAGCTAAGGGGACACCGAGCTGGAGAGGTCAGTCTGGGTGGCAGAAGGGGCTTCCACCCTGGTCCCACGGTCCCAGGCATGCTGCAGTCACCGTGGGCATCACTGTGCTTGACACAAAACCCAAATCCTTGGGTGGCCTACAGAGTCCTCAAGAGATCAGCCTTACTTGGATACCCACCCCCGTCATGTCACCAGACTCCAGCCCCCCCACCCCCTGAGCTTCCCAGCCCCCCACCCAGGCCTGTGCACGGCTGTTCCCTCTGCCAGGAATGCCCTTCCACCTGATCTCTAAGTGGTCAGGCTCCTTCTCACCATTCACTGAAATGTCCCCTCTTCAGTGAGGCCTCACCTGATCCCCTCCTCTAGAGCCAACCCCCTCTGTAAATCACCCTGTTTTATTTCTTCCATAGCAGTTATGATGACCTGAAATCATTCTATTTTCTTTTTCGCTTTTGTGTTTGTCTCTCCCAACTAAAAAGCCACCAGGGAGCAGGGAGGGGCTTTATCTATTTCTCCACTGTATCCTTGAGTCATACACAGTGCTTGGCTCCTATAGGTGAAAGTATGCCTGCGTTTCATTGTTTGTGCGCTGATGGTCTGTCTTCCCATCAGTCAGGGACCTGCCTAAGGCTGGCACTATGTCTAATTCACCCTGGCACCCCCAGGCCCAGCACAAATTTGGCACAGAACAGGGTCCAAATATGCTTGTTGAATGACTGAATGAACAAAGCATAGAAGGGGTAATGACAGGAGCACCCTGCTGGGCTCTCTGTGAGTCCAAGCCCCTTTCTGGTGGGGTTGCCCCAGACATTGCCACTGGGCTGCCCTTTGGGGGAAGAAATGGAGCTCCGGAGGCTGCTGATGAATCAGTGTGGCTTCCAGGCCTAGGACTGACAGCTCCCACCCTTCGATGGGGAGGCGAAGGGGCAAGTGGGAAGGGGAGGGCGGACTAACACTGGCCCTTGGCACCTGCCAGTCCGTCCCTTGCAGCGGCCAATGTCCTGAGATCTCATTGTCCAAAGAAGATCGTGCGGGTTGGAGCAGGCGGCTGGAATCTAATCCCAGGTCTCCTCCCCGCACCCCTTCGGGCACGGGTGAGGTGGGGCGGCAACCCTCCAGAGGAGGTGCCTTCGGAAGGGTCCGCCCGCGGCCCTAGGTGTGCGTCCCCTAGTGGCAGTGATGACGCATCCCTCCCCTGGGCCCCAGAGACCTGGCCTTTCTCCAGCACAGCAAGGATTACGTCGTCGTCCCTGCGGGTCCCCCTGATTGCCCCTCCGCCTAGGCGTTTGGAGAGTGCTCAATGAGGATGGATGGACAGTCTGTGCACCAGGCCCAAGCCGGCTGCCTCACATCCCCGCCGCGATCACATGAGCGTGCACGCAACATGCTCAGACGCACACGGTCACCGAAATGGAACCTGCCACACGGACTTGTCATATCACGGCGGGAGCCGATGACAGGTGCGGAGCTCCTGCCCGGCGTCCCCGCTTCTCCCTGATCGTCCTCATCGGGGCACCCAGCCCCATCCCCCTCCCCCGCCCCACGCGTACTCTGCACAGGCCTGGGCGCCCTAAACACCATCTCCCTCGCGCCCAGGCGCACTCCTAGGCATCCCTCAGCTTCTGGTCTGTCACCTCCTCCAGGAAGCCTCTCCTGTGTCCCCTGGACCCGCCACCTCCGGAGGCAGGGATCTCG